GGATGAGCGAGTGTTATCGAGCTGTGACGTCGTTGGCCTTGTAAAGAATACGTTATCTCTCTGCGTGCGCTCCGTTCCGTTCAACACGAGTATCTCACGCTCACGTTATCACTGTTTACGTCGTACGTGCAATCTAACGGTGATCTCTTCACCGCGAAAATCGAGCAATCGTCCGTTCTGGTCGACGACGCGTATCGTCAGATCCGTAATGCTCCGTGCGATGATCGGCAGGTAAATGATCTGCGCCGGCCTCTCCGATATCTTATATCCTAGCGGCACGCTCGGTGAAAATTCGTTTATTGTGTGCGCGCTTTTGCCGTACGCATCCGCGGTCACGTTGCACTCTACGCGGATAACGTTTACGTTCATTATGTTGATCGACATATCCGATTCGTGCCATCTTCGCGGTCGCAGTATACGCTTCGACGAGAATCCCAGCAGCGATCCAATGCTGTTGGGCTTGTCAAAGTTTATTCTGTACGCACATCTAATCTCGCATCTCATCGTGTTGTAGTTTGCGCGAAGCGTAATCGGGTATTCTCCACTCTCACCGTTATCATCATCGGCGTCATTGTTCTTATTATCACCGCGCACTACGTCAGCGGTTTCAAGCGCGTCGCGGTGAGGACGTTTCCGTAAAATCGCGGGTTTCAGAAATTCATTTATGTCTCGCACTTCGTACGAACCTTCGAGAATTGTAATTTACGCGTCATCTTTGGCAAAATAAAATTTGTTGTTCGAATTATTCACTTTCGGTATCGTGTCTCAAAAATCACCAGACCGAACTTGTAATCGCCGTCACTCAAATCTATGGCGGGAAAGTAGTTTGCCGCGAGGACGGTGCTTTTCCCGCTCAGTGTAAGCGTCAGCGACATGACGGTGTTCGACTAATACTGAGATTTCATAGCATCTCGCCGAGCTTTTTAAATTCACGCGCGTCTACCGTTTGTAGAAACCGCAGGCACATCTGTCCGCAGAAGCTCTGATCGTACGTCTGATAGGATGTACGATTGTACTCTATCGTCGTAGCACCATTCCCGAAATATCGCACCAGTTCCTTGGGAGTTCGAAGATTACCGAAACTGTCAAAGTATACAACGCGGTGGTTCCTCTTCGCGTACGCTACCCAGTGAGTACCAGGCCCCATTGCATCGTCCAGATTCACGATACCGCTTTCGTTTCGACGCGCACCGCTCGTCGGTAACGCGTTACGCATGAAAACGCCTCTAAAGTATGGTGCGTATACGTCTCGCGAGCTCGTTTAATTGCGCATTGGTAGTTGCACCAGACGGCATTTTTATCGTCTCTTTGGCGTTTTTCTTTTTTTCTTTGCAGCTGCACCCTGTCCATGTTTGTACGGACCGAGATACAGTCCGCGGCCCTGTTCCATCGCGCGGTTGTGTCGTTGCAGCTCTTCGAGCTGACGTCGCGCGGCTTTGTTGTCGTTTACCGCTTTCACCACGCTGGCCGCTCCTCCAATCAAGGATCCGAGCGCGCCCAACATTGGCAGAAACGGTAACGCACCACCTCGTTTCGCCGTTGGAAGTATCCGCTTTTTCGTCGTTTTTTTCTTCGTCGTCGTCGTCGTCTTCTTCTTCTTCGGTTTCATGCCCATGCCGATCTTGATCTTGGCTTTCATCGCTGCCCAAACGGCAGCAGCGGCAGCTCTTTCGCCCAGAGCCGAATCACTCGCGATAATGCGTTTCCGCGCCTTCTCGGCTAGTATATTGTCTGCCGCGTGTCTATCGGTGAGATCGTTGCTGCGCGAATACGCAATGTCGTGTTCCCGACACGCCGCGTCCAGTGGATATATGCCCGCGTCACCTCTGGCTAATCGCTTCGCAAGTCGAGTGCCTGGGACGCAAAAATGATAGCCCGGAATATGTAACTCAAAAGGAAGCGCGTTTATCGCTCGATTCAACAGACTACCGCCCGACGCTGACATTCGTTACAGTCCTTTATCTTAGGTGCGAGACCGTCGATGTGCGTTCGCTGCCACGGCTGATTGTAGTGCTCGTCGCACCGACGATAGGTTCGAACCTCCGAATCTGCCTTCACGTGTTCCGAAAGCCGATCCCAGACGTGTTTGATGTAATCGCCGTATACGCGTAAGAGTACGACCTTCGGTATATATTGTAACTGTTTGGCGCTTAAGTTTCGAATATCGAAAGGATGACTCAGCGCGAGATACATTTTGCTACTGTGCGATTCGCGGGATTCGCGCGTCTTTAAATAGTCGTTCGAGAGCGCACAGCCTGTAGTGTGAGCATGAAATTCGTGCTACAACCGCTGACGAACTGTGACGCGAAATCGCGAATGATGGGAGGTAGCGCGGAGAAGCGCAAGCACGGAGAAATGCTGCCGAGTACTATACGCGCGATCATTTGCGGCCCGTCGAATTGCGGTAAAACTAACGTTCTCATAAAGTTACTCGAGAGCCCGAACGGTGTACGTTTCGAGAACGTGTACGTCTATTCGAAATCGTTGCAACAGCCAAAGTATCGATATCTCGATAATTTGTTTACGTCTATCGAGGAAATCGGCTACTTTACGTTCTCCAACAACAGCGACGTCGTTCGACCAAGTGAGGCGCGCCCAAATTCTATTTTTATCTTTGATGACGTGGCATGCGACAAGCAGGATGCGGTGAAAGAACACTTTTCGATGGGTCGCCACGCGAACGTTGACTGCTTCTATCTCTGTCAGACGTACGCGAGGATACCTAAACATCTGATACGCGACAACGCGAACCTTCTGATCCTATTCAAACAGGACGGTACCAACTTGAAACACGTTTACAACGATCATGTAAATACCGACATGTCGTACAACGAATTTTGTGCGTTGTGCCACGCCTGTTGGCAACAAAAATATGGATTCATAGTGATAGACAAAGACAGTGCGCTCACAAATGGACGATACAGAAAAGGATTTAACGAGTTCGCGATACCGTAACGCGACCAATCGTTGTCGATACTTAGTCACAGACGAACATGGCAGATGTGCGCGAGCGTGAAAAAATCGCGAGAGCGATCGAGAAGACGAGCGAGTCGATCCGCAAGAAACATCGCGCTCTGAAGACCGGTAGAATCGAGGAGAACATCGCGTTGAACAGACACGTTTTAAGCCTCTTATCAAGCCGCTGCGATTTTTCGTCAACAGCTCAGACGTGCGCGCGACAAAGAGAGAGTCGCGCGACGAAGATACAGCGTCTGCCCATAAACGCGAGAGGAAGGAGGAACAAGAGGAGAGAGAAAAAGCGAGCGAGACGTTCGAGCGTTCCACGACTCTGCATAAATCCGATCGCACAATGATGTACAACCAATAACCTCCACGCGTGCCAAAATCGTACCAACGATAGAGTCGTTGGAGAACGTTTTCGAAACGACGGAAGATTCGCTAGCGACGAAGGTTCAAAATCAGCTGCAGACGTCGGAAGGTCGAGAGGCGTTACGAGCTGATTTGGGCCCGCTGGGTCAAAAGTACGTAGAGGCCGTCCTGAAGGGAGCGCGAGATAAAGGGAGCGGTATAGTAGATCGCGTGTACGGCGTTTACTTACACGAGGATGGGCTCATGTTTGGCAATAAACGTTTCGACGTGGATGACGCGGACAACATAATTATCGACGGCGTACGATACGCCGGTACACCAGGTCTTTACGAGTTGATTTTTAAGAGAATTCCCGACGATACACGGAAGACAATATGCACAAGTACAAGAGCATGCTGTTGGTGACGAACGCGCACAAACACAAGTATCATTCGCAGGGTCGATTATTGAGCAACAGAGGATACAAGTACAAACACGTAATCGCGCCGTTGATGTCGGTCACACCCAAGAAACAGAAAAAAATCTGGAAAGGGATTACCTCACGCAATAACATTGAACGACAACGCGATCGATTACGTGCACCGGGATGATCCCAACGAGCTGGTGGATCGTCTACGATTGCTCGACGCTTCGCACCGAGCAGGCAACAACGCTCACGACAACGAGATGCTGTCGATCATCGAGGAACTTCGCGAAGCCGGTCTTATTATAAATTAAATCGCGTATTCATAAAACGATTCAGTCGAGTGACACCAGCGAGAAAAATACATTAATTTCTTGTTCTCTGTGTATTACATGTCGAACTATGAAAAAGAAATCCGATGAAAAGAGAGAAAAAATTAGCTCGGAGAAACGTCGACTCGTCGAGGAATTGCAAGCTCCGGCGAGAAGAAATTTTCCGCGAAAGCGTGTCATAGTCCGGGGGTACTTCGATCTGTGGCAAGTTGATATCGTTGAGATGCGTCCTTACTCGAGTTTCAACAGAGGCTACCACTACATACGCACTGTCATCGATGTGTTGAGCAAGTACGCGTGGGCCGTTATGCTCAAGAGCAAGGGTGGAAGCGAGACGGCGAACGCTATCGCTGAGATCGTTCGAGAGAGCGAAAGATGTCCGAAAAATTTACAAACGGATATGGGGAAAGAATTTTACAAATGTACAGAATATCTTGAAAAAACACAACGTTAATCACTATTCCACGTATTCGACGTTGAAAGCGTCAGTGGTCGAGCGGTTCAATCACACGCTCAAAAACGACATGTGGAAGATGTTTACACTCGACGGCAATTACAAGTGGGTCGACGAGCTGCTGCGTCTGGTGTCAGAATACAACGCGCGCAAGCATCGTACCATCGGCATGCGACCCTCTGACGTAACTTCTGCGATCGCCGAAAAACTCTTGGGCACAGTGTACAGCGCGATTAAGATCGCGGGTCCTGCAAAATTCAAAGGAGGCGATTCGGTACGCGTGAGCAAATACAAGACGATTTTTTAGAAGGGTTACACACCAAATTGGACCACCGAAGTGTTTACGATCATTAAGGTGCAGCGCACCAATCCCATAATTTATCTACTCAAGGACTATCGTAGAAATTCCGTCGCTGGAGCGTTCTACGAGCACGAGTTGCATCGCGCTACTCATCCGGACGTGTACGAGTATACACAAAGTAAGATATAAGATAATACTCGTACATATACGCCGTATGAAAATATAAAAAATGTAAAAACATAATAGTAATACAACATAATAGTAATACTTGTATAAATGTTGATATGTACATATATTACAAAGGTATCCGCCAATGTCCCCACGGTAACGTCTCCGTCGAATTCGGTACAACGTATCGTTTGTCATCGTATGGACTCAGAGCGATTTTCGATTCGGATATTGTGTATACGTGCAGTTTAGATCGTATACACGATTGACGACGAGTCATTTCGATCTCTTCGTCAAACATCGAGTGAAATCGTCGAACGTTATTGTTTGCGCTACGACGTTACTCTTTACGCCTTTCATCTTTTTAGTGTCCTTCTTGCCATCCACCCTCATAGCGTACATCTTCGCTCTGAGACCAACGAATTCGGTCATTATCGCACCGTTATTTTCGTCCTTCATCAGATCGGGTACTTTTTTGTTCGCGAGAGGCATACCGTACGCGTTGCTCGTCGGATAATCGCTCGTATCGAATCTAGCGATATCGCGTTTCATAGTCTCGTAAAAGTCCTCGCACTCGACACGGTATAGGAGGTCTGGCTATTAAATAACGAGACTGCGCGCGCAGAAGGCGTCCTAGAGGGGTAGGGTGGGAAACGAATGCAGCGTTGGATAGCTGGAAGTGTCTACTATTCCATTACGAAAACACGTTTTTGTCGCAGTAGTAGTATTTTTTCAATAGAGGTTAGAAACGAACTTGTTTTTTTCTCGTGCCAATAACAATGTGTGACGAAAAACACGGATCAATGTGAAATTTCTCGTTAAATTAAAAAAAACTCCGACTGAGTGCTATAAGTTGTTGAAAGAGGCCTATGGTGAGAATTCTCTATCTCGTGCGAGTGTTTTCGAATGGTATAAACGGTTTTCTGAAAGCCGAGAGAGCACCGAAGATGACCAACGTCCAGGTCGACCTGTCTCTGTTTCAACTCCGCAAACAGTGACCAAAATCAATGAAATTGTGCGCGGAGATCGTCGTATGAGCATTCGGATGATTGCTGAGACTGTAAACGCCGATAAAGAAACTGTCAGAAAAATTTTACATGACGAATTAAACATGAAGAAAGTCTGTG